CTCTCCCACTCTCCCTCTCTTTCTATCCCTGCACAAAGAATCCAAACGAAGATTCTCCGCTTTTTTTTCACAGTTCTCCTCCACGACATTTCCATTTCCATGTACAAGTCATAGTGTGGTTCTTCTCTCTATACACAAAAATGAATCGAACGTAAAAGGAATGAAGAGAAGAAGAAGAAGAAGAAGAAGAAGAAGAAGAAGAAGAAGAAGAAGAAGAAGAAGAAAAAAGTTGTAAACTAGCGATTCAACAAACACTTGCAAAGGTTTTTATCGTTTACTCTACTTTCAACGTTTGCCCTAGTCATTTTGAGCTGAGCGCCTCAGCACACATAACTATGTTACTCCATCTCTCACCAATAAATGTGCTGTGCTCGCTGGTGCGCTGTGTGACGGGCGTTCGCTGCCGTTGCAATTACCGAATATTTATTACCGTTTCCTTCATAACATACTCTCTGTTGTTATTTCTTCTTCTTCTCATCGCTGTCATCGTCGTCGTCAACGACGTTGTTGTTGTTTTTGTTGCCCGTTTCATTTTACGTTTCGTATGGTTTTGGCTGCTGCTGCTGGTGTGTCGCGTCGACACATCGCACGTTTCGCTCTCACTTGCCATCCATGCACGCAATGCGTTGCGCTATTTTCTCACTGCTACGATGTCTGTATTAGCACGTATGGCGCAATAAATGCACCCTGATGGCAAAAAACCAGCACCGTACCCACACTCATGAGTGAGCCGCACGAAAAACGACTCTATACGCGCAATATTTGTACCATATCATTTTATGCGAGCAATTTTATGACTATCTTTTCGCTTACATTCGGGAATTCACTACTTTCATTCAAAATGTTTTGGATTTCTTCTTCTTCTTTCTTTTTGATGAGCTTTCATTAATGCGTTTTTTGCTTCGGAAAAAAATGGCTTTCATCACAAACATATTAATGAGCAGCTGGAGGAGAATGAATGCATCCATACATACTGAATCAAAAAAAAAGATCAAGAACGAAGGAAGGAGTAAACAAATCCAACCGAAAAACCCTGTCAACATTTTTTCTTCAAAACATTGATTTTAGTGTTTTATTCAATAGTATTGGTTAAGTGCATGTAATTTGAACGGATATTTTTATGTTCGTACAAAAATCGAAAGAATATCCAGCGAGTGTTCCTTTTTTGGAATCGAACTTAAAAACGAATCTCGCCTACACCATTACAACGATAGAGCGAGAGAGAGAGAGAGAGAGAGAAAATTGGAATGAATGGGAAAATAGGGAAATACATTTTTGTCATGCGATAAATGCGAATGAGTGTTCTTCTCACTGGCTCCTCGCACGTTTGTGTGGGTGATAGCTGCTGTTGCGGTCGCTGTTGTCGATGCCGCCGTTACTGCTGCTGCTGCTGGTGGTGGTTGCCTCACGGTGGATATATACTATTCGTTCTGTAAAATTTTCAAATACCGTACAACTTTGTAAGCGTGCTATTGAATTTAAGACCAGTCATTCCATTCCGTTGCAAGTGTATGTGTGTCAGCGGCGAGAATACACACGCAGAGATTCATAGAATCAGAATCATCGAAAGCAGATGATGAATAAAAAGCAATAGCAGCAACGAGGAACCATGTTCTCTCTATATGTGTATATACCACACACCGAAAGCGAACAACGATAGAATGAGAGAGAATGGAAGACGTGTGCAGGCGATATAGCGCGTTCCGTTCTATATGAAAATCAACTCATTCATTTGTAATTTATGTTCATTCAATTTGCATGGGATAATTTTTGTGCGCATTTGAAAAATGCTTTCAATTGAATATTGGCGATGTGAAGAGATATTCTGTTGCGACGCATTCGAACTGTTCGCTCTTTCTTCTTCTTCTCTTACATGCACACACACAGGCGCGTTAGCATGCTCTCGCCTCACTTGATTAGAATTTAATGCGTTGGCACTCAACAACGACCAAGAAATTCACGGCATAAATGAATAAAAAGAAAACTTTGGCTTCACGTTCGTTGTCGAGGAGTGTGTGTGTGTGTATGTATGCGTGAGAGCAATTGAGAGCGAAAACTTTTAGCGAAAAATATAGCTCTTTCAACAATTTCAAAACCAAAAATGGCATGGCCGAAAAGAGAACGAACAAAGAAAAAATAACGATCACGCAAAAATCATACACGTTTGTGTGGAACATAAAAAAAAATAATATGGGCTGTACGAATGTAAACGAGCGCGCACGGCACAAATTTGCGGTTGACACAAGTATTTTGAATAAGTAAAATCCGAACAATGCATAGATCATCATCACCACCAACACCACCGCTCCTCGCTCGGCTCAGTACTCTCTTTCGGCGATTCAGCCAGCCGTATGTGCTTTGTACATAGGTTCGACGACGACGACGACGACGATGATGATATTGGATTTTGCTCACAATCAAATTACGTTACGAAGCAACATTTTCAAAAATCAAAGATGACGACGATGAGTAGCCCCATCCTCAGCAGACTCTCACATTGGCAGCAGCATCATCAGCAGACAAACAATCCCGATCGAATAAAATCAAAATAAAAACACAAACCTTCGTCGATGTCAATGCATACACGATAAGTGTATATATATGGCTCGACTCACACAGCTCTCATTCACTCTGCGGTTTTTGCCAACATTTCCAAACGATGAAAACCGTATGTATTTAAAGTCCGATGGATAATGTGTTTTAAGCTCTCTCTCTCTCTCTCTCGCACTCCATCGTAAAACGAATCAATGTGCCAACAACAAACATCAGGATAAACAATGCGCGACACAATACCATGCCGTTTTTACGATAGATTTTGCATTAAATGTCATTAACACTCAAACACATACGCACCACGTACATACACACGCACACACACACGGAACGTGAATGCGAACCACGAACGCAAGACGCTCCCGGCTGTGAATGGGTGCGAAAGAGAGTCAGCTTAAGCATATTTACACACAACGGCAACAACAACAACTACAAAAAAGAATCTAGATCAAACGTAACCAAGTGTGTTGTATATATACGCTCCTTCCGAATTTAGATTCCGAATATTTCACCATACATTTACCAGGTGCTTATGTTGTTCGTTGTACTTCTTCCAGTTTTTTTTTTAATTTTTCATTTCATTTTTCACATGCTGTTGTGATATTTTTCTGAGGTAAAATTTTTGGAGAATTTAACATTTTCATTCTTCGAATCTGTTTACAGAGTAATTTTTTTAATTCGAAAAAATGTCCATAAGCAAAAATACCCTATTTTTTACATTCTCGTTTGCTGCTGGATGCAGCGACGAAAAAAATCAGTGAAATTTGTATGAAATTTTCGATTTTTCAATGAAGAAGAGAATCATTTTCTAGGGAAACACCCTGTATACTACACTGGCCGCATCGTGCTCACGTTCAGCACTGGGTCCATTATTATCCAAAAAAGCAGCGAACACTCTGCACACATTGCTTTTTACACCATTATCTATAGCATAGAATTTGACGATGAAATGAGAAAATCACATGCAGAGACACACACTCCGCCATGCCGTGTGCACAACAGCGAACAGCAGCAGCAGCAGCAACAACAAACAACACATAACGAGAAGAGAGTATTTTCAAATGCGAATAAGAGTAAACTCGCACACAGCCATCATCTGAAATGTTTATTCCGCGTGTAAAGCCGATAAGGAAGAAGTGTACGTATATAAGCAAAGCGAAGCATTTTATTTTTTGTTTGATTCCCATACGCGCTCATATGGATCATATCTTTCTCTGTGTGTATGAATGTGGTAGTGCTTGTGTTTGTGCATACTAGCTGCTCGGCACAATGACGATAATTCACGTTTCCTTTTCCCCAGCTGGTTAATGACAACACAGCAATAACGTAGCATTCAAAACGCTGCTGCTGCTGCTGCTTCTACACGGTATTTACTGCTATACCCACACACGCATACGGTCTGTTTACAAGCACGACTTGGGATCAGCGACTAACATCGAAATGAATTACGGCTGACGATGAGATTTTCTTATTGCATTGCGCAGATTGGGGTAATGAATAACTTTCTCAAACGACGATAATATTTAAATTTAACTTTTCAACGCAAAAAATGACATTCGCGAGAATATTCCTGTAAATAGAATTGAATTAATAAACCAACAAATGCTCTTTTGTATTATTTTCTTGAAGAAAATTTCTCATTTTATTTTCAATTTCAACAAAGGGCTTGAAAAGTCTTTAATGTTCAGTCAAAATGAAAAATAGAAATTTTTTTGTCCAAAAAAGTTGCGATGGCAGTTCCAAATATGATCGACATTAGTCACTGTATTACACCATACGTGTGCCGTGCCCGTCACTACATTGTTGTTTATTATTGTTGTTGTTGCTCTTTGTGTGTTACACGTACAAACATACACTTGCATAATAATGCACAAAAGTACCTTGTGCTTTGCGTTCTTTCCCGTTCTTTTTGTTGGTTGCTGCTGCTGTTGTTGTTGTTGTTGTTTTTCGGTATGGTTGTATATCGTGTGTTTAGGTTCGTTGGTCTAACATCCATATTATCGCATAACACGCACACATGTGCGCTAGACATTTTTCACATGTTGACGCATCCATCGAACTCTTCTGCTTCTTCGCATGTTGATTGTGGTAAAGCGGCACGGCACACATATTCACAGACAACAGGCCACAGACGAAAGGCAAGAATTTTTAAAGAAAAAGAAGAAGAAGAAGAAGAAGAAGAGGTAGAGTAGTAAGCAAAAGGCAAATAATAATAATACAGAAAAAGGCAACAACAACATACACACATAGAGCAGAGCAGCAGCGGCAGCGGCAACGGTGGCGGCGGCGGCGACGGCAGCACACAAATCGGAAAAAATTAAACACATCGATGGGATAGTGTAATTGAAATACACAGACAGACTAGTTATGAGAGAGACACGCACGCACACAAGCGTTCGTATGTAGTCGCAGTCAGAGGATAAGGAGACCACTGACACTGTGAACAATATTCAAAGAAAACACTTTCAGCCGAATTCAACATTCAGTTGACGGTTGACCGTCATACGGAGCACTTCTCGATGCACACAGCATTAACGGCAAAACGAACGAAGATATTCAAACAAAAATTAAATTATAATTTATATCATTCATTCATTTTTTGTAATCAAATTGGTTATTTCATATGATTTCTGTGTGTTTGTATAAAACGTGATGATTCTTTCATTTTATTATTATTCCGTTCGAATCAAATAAAAGACACACAGAGAGAGAATCATAAAATAAAATAAACGAAAAGAACGAACATTTATTAGACGAAAAAAAAAATTATATAGTGTTTGTGAGTGTTTATTTCTCGTCTTACATTTTCGGAGAAAGAATAAAATATCATCGAACTGAGACACACACACACACACACACACACCAGAAAACAGTCGAAATAAAGAGAAGCAGAAGAAAAAAAAAATCTGAAATGATTGATTTGTGTTTCATAAAATTTTATGAGACGAAGCACGGAATCAACAAGGAAAAAACAGTACCAAAAACGTAAATAATAACGCGAGTTTAAATATAAATAGACTTTTAAAGACTTTACATACATAGACATATTATTACGGAGAGCAGTGACTGTGTTCGCCGTATTGAGCGAAAAATAAAGAAAAAAACAACAATAACAACGAGACAATATAAACAATTGGCGATTTTACTTTTTTTGTCTACACCATCAACGAGTGAATATCGTGTATATATTAAACCGAAAACCGAAAGAAGGAAAAACAGACACAAACACACACATTTTGTTGTCTTCTTCATCATCATCATCATCCTCAATCGGTTCTGGTGTTTCTTCGCTCTTCGTTGTGATATTTTGTGTGTTCGCACATTCATTCACATAATATGCGAAAAATACACGAAGACCTGTGACAGAAAAGACACATAGGCCACATATGAATATAAACTTACCGTTTATAAACAAGAGCCAAAAGACATAAAGCGACGAGTGAAAGAGTGTGAATTTCATCGAGTGAATATTATACATACACAAACACACGAGTTGTAACTAAATATTAGGCCGGAGAAAAGAAGAAGAAACGAAAAAAAGAAGCGAAACAGAACGAAAACAAAACAATGTGTACGTTTTTCAAATAATAATACTTAAAGCAACAACAAAACGAATGCTCATTATTTTTCCTCTCGTTGATTGATATAAATTTGGTAGTGCGTTCGTGTTACTTTGTTAATTTAACCGTCATTGAGCGAATGAGTTATAGTGCGTTGATGTGAATTTTTGAGTGAGTATGCGAGCTGCTCGATATTGAAATCTATTTTTTTCTTCTGACAGAATATAGAAAGAGAAGACGATTGAAAAAAAAACAACAAATGAACCAAACGCATTCAATATACATATATATATTTTTCGTGATAGTTTGTGTCTATAATGACCGATTGGGAACCTGCTACAGTTTTTTGGCTCTTTGTTTCTTAAATATTTGTTTTGTTGATGGTGTGCGCTTTTGTTGGGCCAGTTATTCATGATATTCATCGAAATGAAAACACTTTATTTATTGCAGACTATTAATACATCATTTTATTTAATGATTTTCCTCTCTGTTCATTCCTTTCTTTTGTCTCTATCGGACGCGAGTTAGTCAGCTCGCCCGTTGCTCTCATCGTGTTTTTTTGTGTGTGTGTGTGTGTGTGTGTGTGTGTGTGAATGAATATGGCAGAGAGTGTGCTCTCTCTATCTCTTCGTGCACGTCGCTGTCTTTGCAATATATCGGTTGTTTAGCGATCAACAGTCTCATTGAATTTTTCTTTCGCAGTCATAAATTTCATTAATTTACGGTAGATTTAATATGCTCGCTCCGTTTTTTTACTCAGCTCTCTGTGTATATTCATTTGCTTTTAGTTCAGTGTATTCGCAATATTATCATCAATTTTTGACTGTGCTTTGCGTTCTGACTTCTTTCGAATGTTTTCTTTTTATTGAGGGAAACAACGAAAGATGGTTTAGTGTCTGTTCATTTTGACTGTTTGACTTGATGTGCTTTAACAAGAAATTTGCAATATAGCCTAATGTAAAATCGTACTTATCGCCTCCCTCCTTTCTTTGTGTTTTTTTTTCTCCCATTGCGGTGGTTGTTGCGAAGCCACTGATGTTAATTTATGAAAAAACACACACACACACAAAATTTCAACGAATTCAGAGAAAATGTGCGGTTTTTGCCTTTATCACCATTCACGCATTCGCATGAGGATGATATCGAAAAGTCCAAAACTCAAATAATTTTTTTTTTCTCGAAAGAGTCGAGAATAAAAAATAGATTTTTATGCGATGTGATTATACAGTCACATTCAAACAAGCACAACCACACATACACACACACAGTGACTGGGCCGCGTGCGCTCGCACCAACTGTGTGAGAGAGAGAGAGAGAGAGAGAGAGAGAGTGAGTGAGTGAGCAAAGCACACTGGACCCATAATATAATGCGAGTGCCATGTAAAATGGTTTCGATGATAAACAAGTTATAGTGGTGGCGATAAATTTCAGAACATTAATGACAAATACGTAAAATTCTTTTGTTTGTTTGGTGGCTTTGCTATTTATTTTGGTTTATGAACGTGTTTTTACAGCCATGTTTCATCACATACATTCAAATATATATATATATATTATTCGAATGTGGTACACAAAACACAGGCCCGAAGAAAAAAGATCGTTTCATTCTCGATAAATATCTTTCTGTTTTGTTGCTCTCTCCATTCCATACGGTTTCTCATTCCTCGATGATAGTAGGAGAATACAGAGGCATATTTTCGCTTGAAACGAACTTTTTTGGCCTGTGTCGCACTCTCAACAACCCAGAACACTTATATGCATACAAATTAGTAATAAGCCAAATGTTGCCCGTTTCAATCTAATAAAAAACCCAAATGAATTGCATGCAGCACAATGGCACCCACGACGACGACATACACACAAAACCAAATCATTGCCGTATGTGTGTGTGTCTGCAACGGGCGTTCTGTCCCTCTCTTCCATACACACACACACACACACACACACACACACACACACACACGTAGACACATGCATACGAAAAATTTACAAAATGAATTCATAAAATAATTTAAAATAAATGACAAAAATAAACAATTAATCGTTTATAATGTATGAGGTGATATATGAACTATGAAGGCTAAACGAAATGGGGATTGTTTGCTGCATGAACTATGTTAAATCATTTCCACTTTAGCTATGCTTTTTTTTTGCTGCTTTCGTATTTGTTTGTTACAAAATACCCATACGCCAAACGAATTGTTGGTTGTTGTTTTTTTTTATTCGGTTGTGTTTAAACGATTCACAATTTTAATATATATCCACCTTTTTTTCCCTGTTCAGCTCTATCTCTGTTCTCAGCTCTGAATTTGCCCTTCATCCTACCTATCGCTATCACTGTCTTGCGCAAGCAGGGAAACCGACACGAAAAAACTTTTAAAGCATATTATACACGTTCTCGCGTTACCATAAATTATATGGTTCAAATTTGTAATTATACGTAACTCACCATACATACGAAAAATTGTAACATTCTGTATGTGAGTTTATTTTTATATAGATATACACTCTGTTTTTTTTTCCATTTCATTCGTGTTTCATTTTATTCATTGTAATTTTGTGTATTATATATTCTGTTTTATATGTTGATATGGACGCGTATCTATATAAAATGTCTATTACTATTTGGTTGGATGTATTTCCACCGGTTCACATTTCACATGTGTATGCAACTCGACTATTCCGCTCAGTTTGTTTGCGGCTATCACTCTCTCTTTCTCTTTTGCTCGTTCCCTTCTAGCTGGCCGATCACCGACTGCACATTCATTAATAAGTTTCTATGGAATTTTATTCACTCTCTCCTTCTCATCGGCATGTTTCAAGTAATTCTGGATAAAAAGAAAACAAAATGTTTGTGTCAGTTTACGGGTTGGCTGGCTCCTGCTTCGTGAACAACATGTTGTTATACACATTTTTGGGAAGTTGATTGTTGTTTTGTTTGGGCAATAATTGCAATGCTACTGCCCTTTGTATCGGTTATGTTTTCTTTCTTGCTCTCTCCCTCTCTCCCTCTCTTTCTCTTTCTCTGTCCGTGATAAAAGAGAGCACTTACATAAATTATAAAGAGATCTCTTTCTCATAATGACCCCCAGGTGGAAAGCCCACGTACGAAACCAATGCCGTGTTCCATCTCTTTCATTCGTTCATCTCCAGTTCATGATACGGGGCAGCACACCAACACTAGGCTCGATCGACCGAGGCGCTGACTGAATGAACGAATCAAGCGTGTAATGACACAAAAATTGTTCGAACATTATAGAAAAGTTTAACCACTTTTCGAGCTTCAAAAGAATAATACTATTAATATTTAACAATTGAACCATACCTTTTCGTTTTTCCTCGTCCATTGAACAGTACACAGACACACACACACACACACACACACACATTCATAAAATGCGATACTGCAATATATCTTTCTTCTATTCCCTCGTTGCTGGTATTTATTCCAAAGATGAACAAAAAAACAATGTAGAATGATTAAAAGTCAACTGCATTTTAATATTTAACCGAGAAGAAAAGTAATTTTCATTTAAATATATTTCCCGTTTATAATTTTTTTTATTCCTTTATTTTTCGAATAAAAACGAAACGATACACACACGCACACACAGACTAGAAATAATATTGTATGCACGCTGGGCTACGGTTGATTGCATGGAATAATAAAAAAGACGGATATATTCAATAATTAATTCAATAGCCGACTTTGAAAATTTGTCAAAAGACTCACAGCGCGATAGAATACCAGAGAGAGAAAAACAAAAAAACTAAACAAAATCTGTATGGAATATAATCGAAGCCAATTGGAATGGATTGAGAATAAATGAGTGTATTGTTTGAGAATTGGAAAATTATTTAAATGAGTTCATGAAGGATTGTGATGGCAATTAAGTTGGGGCGGGGGAGCGCTTCAAAGAGAATCATAGTTGAAAATATGTTTCTTTTGAAAAATTGAACAGCGACAATTATTCGTTCACTGTGGCCAATAAATTGACCACATCATGGCATAATTTAAGGAATTTCGATTTTTGAGTATTGACAACTGCCATTTGATCTGGGGCGATTAAAGGTTCAAATATCCGAATACATGATGAAGCTTGGAATATCTAGTCTTAGTTTTAGTATATCAGACCCATAAACCCATTGCAATTTCCAATACTTGGCAATTAAATCCATCGGTCTGATCAAATGGCAGTTATCAATACTCAAAAATCGAAATTCCTTAAATTATGCCATGGACCACATAAAAATTTGATGCCACCACCAAGTGCTCAATCCAAATGATGTATACCGAATCGAAAGTTCACCATTCAAGCATTTGCTTTAAAGTGTCCCACTGTAGTCACTCACTTCGGTTGTAAGTCAAATTCCCAATTGTTTTGCTATGGTGGGCTATTCTGTACGCACAGCATAACATCTTTCAACGCTCGCATTGAATAAAAATGATACAAAAGCGTTAAATTCAACGCGCATAGGCGCAACACATTTTTTTGGTGAGCTGAATGTTGCCTTTTTTGCTTCATTATTTCATGTGTATGTATGGTAGTATAATATTCCTATAAAAGACCGTTCGTGAATGTTGTCGAATTTATACGAGAAAAAAACCACACAACAAAATAATAATATAAAAGAATAACATCACCCATACAAGAAGAGAAATATTCAAAAATAAAAAATCTAGCAAAAAAGCGTATATGAAAAGAAGAGTTTTCAACAAAAAAAAATGAAAGAAAGAAAGAAGAAAAGCATACGCGGAGTGCGGACTGAAAAACAGAAACAAAAGTAATGGAAAGAAATAATAATAAATTTAATACATGTGCTCTGACTTTATGGAATATGTTTTTTTTATAAATATTTATATAAATGATAATAAATGATTACATACGGCTTATTTATGGTGTAGTATTAAGTAGCAAAAGGTTTCGAACGTGTTCTGTTCGCCCGTTGCCATTTATGAGCCAGAGCCAGAGCCAGTCAGCTACAGTCAGTCAGCAGCAGCAGCAGCAGCAGCAGCACATGAGAGCTTGAGAGAATGAGTGTAGAGAGCGGCCGCTGCACGATGTGTGTATGAATGATATTAGTGATATTTGTGGCATTAGTTGTTATCACAGTCACACTTGCTCTTCACATGCACACATACATACACATACATGAAAAATTGAGCCAGAGATCCACTCATTTTCTGCGCGCACCCATTAAAAAAGAACACACAGAGAAAAAAAAGCACAAACACACACACACACACACACACTTTGCGCTCAAAGCCAAAGTCAGATGTAAGAGACAGAGCCCAAGTGCCCCGACAAGCACACCAAACTCTCAGCGAGAAAAATGAGAGAAATATTCACCGATATTAATAATATATCCGTTCCAGCGCGAATTTATGTTTTTATTTTCATATTCATGAAGAGCGTATTAAAATTATATATCGTCGCGTTTCTCCAGTGTGGCTCATTTTGTTTGCTTCTTTCGTTTCAATTTTAAGAGCGTCAAATGAGCGAGCAGAGAAAGAGAGGACAGAGCATGAACGAGCCGATCCAGCCAGCCAGCCAGTCATTTAGCCAGCTAGCTAGCTAGTGAGCGAATGCTTAGCGTGTGTAATTGTGTGTGTGTGTGTGTGTTTGTGGCTGTGTATTCAGCGAATTGCCTCATTCCTTATTGTGCCAGCCTTTACGTCTTATACATTATTGTCTTCTTGAGCCACTGCCTGTATCACACCTGTATGCGGTTTCAAACATAAATTCATGATTACTCTAAAGTCACCCAAATCTGCGTACGAGATTTATTTTGTTTTGTTTTTCTCCCTTTCTCTCTCTCTCTCTATTCGACGTGGATGTATGTGTGTGTGTGTGTGTGTACGAAAAAAAAACTATTCACGCATAAAGAGTGGCTATTTTTTCCGATCGACCATCCATCGTAGCTCAAAAACAAAACGCATATTTGCGTTTGATCAAACCATTTTCCATTGAATCGGTGATGGCTTAACAGTCAAATCGAGCATTAATGAGGTGAGACCAAGACTAAAGTCCAATCGAAACATCATTATCATACATTATGGCGGAAATGTTTTGTATATTTATGGTTAGCTTCACCAATTTTTCCATTTCTATTGGCTTCCGAATGGCGTTTTAAGCTTTTATTTGTAGTGTGCGATGTTTGAACAAATTAGAACGGGCTTTTTGTTACGCTCACAATTCAATTGGAGCTACTGTTGCTGCTGCGATTGACCAAGTAGCTCTTTTTATAGCAACAAATACCAGAGGATTCATTTCAAAAGAACATTATTCCAAAACAGTCTCATATTCAAATGAAGTACTTCATTCGAAGTGCTGGTGCTGGTGATGGTGCTGGTGCCATTGCCATCATGTATTCACATTTTTCATGATCGTTGACAATTTTCCAATCTGATTGACATAATTGTCATTCATTCTCAACGATATTACTGCTATTACATATCCTAATTATTTTCCTTAATTTCACTTATTCGTCATTTGGATTCATTTTTCTGTTCACCGTCTTCATTTCCGTTGGCCGTTTCACGTGTAGTATAATTTTGATCGATTTTGTGCTCAATTCCCATTGATATGTGTACTGCTGCTGGAAATTCAACACGTTTTCATTTCGTTAGATCGACGACGGCGACGACGATGAAAATTGCTAGTTGCAATTCGATCCAAAGTATATGTTAACGTTCGACGAAAGGAACGATGAGAATGGATGTGTGTGTTGTTTCGTGACGAGAGTGAGAACAATTTCGATGTGATTTTCATTTCATTCGAAAACCCAAACTGAAACAGAGACAGCGACAGAGGCAAGAGAGAAAGAGAGAGAGAGAAAAATATATGATTTACCTTGAACTGAATCATGAAAAATCCAATGGATTTTTTTTTGCTATTTTAAGTAAATTTGACATATGATAGTATTGATTCGATATCACAACTTCATTTTGTATCCGTCTCAATTTCAAGTATCGTTTTGAAAAGGAGCGCAGCACCATTTTTCTTTCTATTTTTTCATTGGCTCGCCTCTGCTCTGTATTTTATTCGTATTTGATACGAAGAACGTATATCAAATCGTGACACAAAATAGCAGCACCGAAGGAAACATGGAATTTGAGCCGAAATAGAACAAAATACTTAAATGTGAAATGCGCTCTGAAACGGGCTCTAATCGAAACAAATGGCCGACACACAGCCCGAGAAAAAGAGAGAGAGAGAGAGAGAGAGAAAGAGAGGGAAAATTCAACGCACAGGCACGTCCACGCAAACTAAGAAAAATTTCAACAAAGTTTTTGTAAAGAAATTAATAAATGATTCCAATTTCACTGAGTCACTCAATGAAAATCATTTATCAAAATGATAGTTTGCGTCTACTCACTCACCTTCGTCGCTGCTGCTGCTGCTATTATTCTCTGTCTCTGTCGTTGGCTTTGTTCTCGGGCTGCGCTCTCGAAAATAATGCGACCGATTATTTTCATCGACTAAGACATTGCTCAAGTTACTATTTCACCATATCAACTAACCAGGCTGAAGTGTGCGTTTTTTTTCCTCACTCATTCTCGCTCTTTTTTCAGGCACTGCCAATGGTGTGTGTGTGTGTGTGTGTGTGTGTGTGTCTGTGCTGTGTGGAAAAGTACAAAATGCGCCGTTGTTTTGTGCGTAACGCGCATTGCATTTTGATTCATTGGCATTCTTTGTCTATTGCACGGCCCCAAAAAGTTGCTAATAAATGGGACAGAAAGAGCGCGGTCGCGCATATTCGATCAAAACCTTAGCTGGTTTTTTTTTTTCTCTCGCTATCTATTTAGTACGGATGTTCTATTGGATTGTGTTGAGGCTCACTGAAAATTTATGTTCGTTATATATTTTGGCTGGCTTACGTATTCTATCAAAATAAAGTCGAAATAAAACACAACTCGGAACAAATTAATCGCTTTAGATAATATTGAAGAGAATACATACCGAATAAAAAGCCACACTGAATCAACGGAATGAATAGACGGAATACAGGAGGCAGAGAGAAAAAAAACTTCTTGAAAATTGTTTCAGGCAAAATTAGTTTTAAATTTGATTTATATCAACCGTTCTGTGAGTATATAGTTTTTTTATCGGTGTAGCTGTGTCAGTTGATGGTGCTGTTTTTTCTGCTATAGACTTTTCTGGTAAATGCCTGAGCCATTACGAACCGTTTGAGGCAAATGTCAATGCGCAACAAAGTTTCATTTTCGGCAATTTAAGATACGTGTGTGTCTGTTTGTATGTGTGAATGTGTGGTTGTAGTTTTTTTTTGTCTCATTATGCGCTTGGCTATACTGTGACGCATACACTTTTTGTCAGTTTTAATTTCAAATACATGGAAAAACGGCCACAGAACATTATCCCGTGTGGTACATTTCATTGCTCGTCTATCGCTCGTTCTCTCAATTGTATTTTTCATGCTAGTTTTTTTTTTTAATGCGATAATCAACTATGCGATAATTTAGTATGGCATTCAAGTTTTTTTTGGTAGAGCACAAGCAAGCAACGAGTTTGAAATGAACAACAACGACAACAAATAACGCCCAAAAACCCGACACATGCTATTCATTTCAGCCAACATTTGAAATTCTATCGCTTTTCGCTTTGAACACTTTTATGTACCACGAATCCGTTGAGCGCAAAACATTTTTCAATGGGTTTCCGTGTGAATGTGTCCTGGCCCTGGATCACAAAACCTATTGAAAAAATGCGATGGTATTGTTGTCATTACCTGCTATCTCTCGTCCAAGATCTCAATTCATCGCACACACAAAATTTTTCTCTCTCTTTCTTCCGTTCCTCTGCTGCTGCTGTGTGTATGCCAAAGACGATTACTCTCGTGCACATCGGTCTCTGGCGCTTAGGCACATTCACACACAGTGACAGGCAACGGAGAAAATGAAGGCCGTTTTGCAAAAGTAATCTAAATTATTTTAATGAAATCGTGCTGAAAATTCCATGACGAAGCACAAATTTCTTTCATCGGTCGGTTTTTTTGTTGCATTTTCATTTGGTTTAATTCACAATTTGCTCGCAGTCACACTCACACACATGCGAACCAATACAAGTACTACCACCAGGTCGGTTGAGCTTAACTACCATTCAACACGAGAATGCTTGAAATAATACCAAATAATTAGATCGATTTTCAGCGCGAGAAAAGGTATGGAAAAAACGGTACTCTTTCACTCACATATCGCACTCTTTGACGCAGTATACAGAGATAGAGAGAAAAAATCTGGTGACAAAAGCCTCACCTGAAAACATATGTAAAACCAATGCGAATCGAATCTCAGCCAAACGATGGACATGTTCCAATAATTTGTGTAAATCCATCGAGTTGAAAATAAAACCGGAAAATGAATAAATCTATTGAATGAATTCGTTTCATTAATAGAAACAAATAAGTGACACAAAGATGTGAAAAGCGAGAGAGAGAGAGAGAGAGAGAGAGAGAGAGAGAGAGAGAGATAGAGAGAAAAACAGCAACATCAGCGGATTGGTCATTATATGTGTTTTGTGTTTGTGTTTTGTTCACACATATTGGGAATTTGACACCGATGATGCAAGAGCCGCAACGGAAACACGGTGTGAAACCATTGAAATTATACTTTGTTTGGAACATTCGAGAACATTGAGAGACAAAGGCGACAGAGAAAGTGGATCCTCCTGTCATCTAATCGGGGAGAAACCCCGTTTGAACAGTACTAAGTTTCAATTTGTCGCAAAAGTTAATAGAGGCATAATTTGAATGGCGTTGTTTTGCATTTTCAAGAGAGCGCTAAGCAAATGAAATGAGAGATGCGGTTTAGTTTGGGGCACATGGAAACTAAGCCAGAATCATTTTCATTGTATTTATGTGCTGCTGCTAACGATGACTATGACGAAGACGACGGTCGAATGTAATGGGTGGAGTGGCTTTTGCTCTTGCTCTTCGTTCGTTCAACCATACACCTGTTGCCCCATTGCATATAGCATATTTCTATAGATGAAATGGCATAGATTGTTTCCATATGTGTGCATTCCTTGCACTTTGCTCGCCGCCCTTTCAGTTTCAATTGTTTTTCGGTTTTGTTATTTTGATTTTGTTTCGGTATTGAATTACAGTTTTAGTTACAACGAAGAGAGAGAGAGAGAGAGAGAGAGAGAGAGAGAGAGAGAAAACCCAAACCAAATGAAAATTTGTTGTATGGAATTGCAATTTGCAAACGCTTTAGATTTTGTTGTTGTTTGCGCTGTTAAATGAGCATACGCGATCGAAAAAGAGTCAGGTTGAATGTGATTGCTTTGGTTGTGCTCTGTGTGTGGTTTCGGTGCCTCAATATTTTTGTGCCGTAGAATTTACTTACGAAAACAGTTTTCATATATTGAGTTGAATGAACAGCACACAGCGCACATGTAATCATCATTTTTTTTTTTTGGTTTTTCGTTTCGCTCATCCGTTCGTTTGTATCGTCAAACAAAAGCGCATAGGATTACAGTCGCCAATCGGATATTTGCCTTCAATTTTTTGTTGTTGTTGTTGTTTTTGGTGTGCTTGTGCATGCGTTGTTTTGGTTTGAATGCGGATGTTTCTCTCTGTGTGTGTTGTACATAAATAGTACTTTGGACTCATTCTTGCTAAAACTTGGATTAATTGATTTTGGTTTTTTGTTTCAGGTCACACACAATGAGCAAAACATGAGGTGGACTCTAGTTTTGACACCACCCCATTATCATTGATGAACGTTCTGTGTTCTTTGTTTTGGTATATGTCAACCCAGCCCAGCACAGGAGAAAACGAAATCATGGCAACGTAGAATAGTTTGAATTGATTTAGCGACTTTTTCTCGCTTCAACAACAACAACAAAAAGAGAAAAGCAAAGAAAAGAAAGTGTGGTTTCGTCGTACGAAAAATACGAGAGAAAAAAAAACTAACAAGCAAACAAACACAACCCAGAAGAAACAGCCAGAAAGAAAAAAAAAACACTGTTCCTTCACCACGATCGACAAACACCAATATTGAAAACATAAGAAAACGGAATAAGTAAAACCAACCCCCGAAGAAAACATGTCCTGCTGTCATGGTCTATTCCAACCAAATAGCAATCATCCAACAATATCGGGTCAAATGTGTCCGTTCATCACACATCGCCATTCACATAATCCAAATCGAACGGATGTCGTTCGTCAGCCCGACACATTGCTGGATATAACGGCACGTATTGTTGCCGAATCGGAACCATTTCAGCGCATCGAAGAACGTTATGAACGTATACCTGAACCTGTTCAACGGCGCATTATATATTGGTCTTTTCCGCGAAATGAACGTGATATCTGTATGTATAGTTCGCTGTCAAGGTGAGTACCGACACCAAATACGTTGATCCGTTTACCTGGTTGTTGTTGCTGTTTTCTCTCTTCTGTATACTAATTTTGCTCGTTCGCGCTGTGGTCGCTTGCTCGCAGTCATTCAAGATACATACACATTGCAAATGCCGTTTGCAAGCACTTGCCGCATTCGCACCGTATGTTTCTCAGCTCCACCGTTGCTGCTGCTGCTTCTGCTGCTACTTCTACTTTTTTATATTTCATTTGTTGTTTTTGTTGTATACATACATTTTATTTTCCTCTCGTCGATTCACATTCATGTTCGTCATGTTCGTATTTTGTATTTGCATGCTAACTAATATCAAGTAAATACATTGTTAAATGAAACATAATAACACGAGGTTAAACTCCTTAAGTGACATAATCGCTTTGACTTTTCGATCTTTAATTTCATATTTTTTGCATGTGCGTGCAACGTGCATACAACACGGAGAAAAAGAAGAAGAAGAAAAAAAGCAGAACACAAATTCTCCCATCGATATACAACAAATGTGTAATTTTAACCGTACGGCTCTTTGACTCTCTCTCTCTCTCTCTCTCTCTTTCCCTTTCTCTGAGTCTATGCCGTAATTTAGCAAAAATAACAACAACAACAACATTTATGTATACCAAATATTAGTTCAATAGCCGACTTAATGAACTGAATCACTGGGCAAATGTCGTTGGCGCAACATAGAACAATTTACCTGAACTATATTTATATTTCGTCCTTATGATGTTACCTTAAATTTTATACCAATCTTCAACTTTCGCCTATACGACTTACCTGGCCTGGCCTCCCCATTTAACGTCTTTCACTGGAATTTCATCGTGGTCGTCATTTCGAAACGACCGCACGGCGATACTTTCAATTCAAATGCCAACGATATTGAATTTAAGATGCGAGAACAACGAGAAGAAAGAAAAAAACAACGGACGAAACAAAATAGCTATATTGATTTCTTTGCATATGGCCACCGCCCGCCCGCCACATCGCATACATATAATTTACATTTTATCATTTCGCCCTTAAACTAAATAACCGTCGTATATCATTCTGGATGAGAGCGAGAGAGATCCGGTCGATATTAATTTTTAGATTTCGGCAAACAGTTCCATCACACCACACACACACACACACATACATACCAGTCACATTCAGACTCAGTTTTCTCAGTTTCTTACTTATTTGCCCGTTGCTGCGTTGTTTCATAATTGTTTGTTCATTTGTTGTTGCTGTTTTGAACGCTGTTGGCATTTTTTTTTCTTCAGATGCTTGAATTAAATATTCATTAGGCTATCCATTTGCCTTGCGGTTGCATTCACATTTGTTTCATTATCGTTTTGGGTGTATGCCTGATTCTTTTGTTCTTCATTATTATTTTGGTGCATACAATTTATTGCGTCGTCCCATTTATCCACTAGGAATGGTGTAGACGGTTTTTGTTGGAGAAAATCATAGAATCGACAGAGAGAAAAAAACCGCAAATGAATAAAACACAATGAATTCAAGCAAGAGAGAGAGAGAGAGAGAGAGAGAGAGAGAGAGAGAGAGAGAGAGAGAGAGCGAAAGAGAAAAAAAATAAGAAAAAAAGTTTCCGATGATTTCGAGCAAAAAAGAGCGCAAGAGAGAAAGAGAGGAGCAAATGGTATTTCTTAATTGTGTGTAAAAATGTAAAATATGCAGAACATGCATTCCATTTGGAAATTATACCATTGCCAATAATGAAAATGTTTATCCTTTTGTTGATGTTTTTATGACCTTTTCGGCATTTCGAATTCTAAATAAATGCACATAAAACCTGTCCCATGTATTCCGTGGCAATCTACGTGTCAATTTGAAACACACATTTTTAAACACTTTGAATGCAACGACGAAACAGCAGCGACCGCACGACCGTGATAGCAGCGGCATCAGCATCCACAGCGGCCAAAGAGTTAATAAAATACCGTCGAAATTGGTTGAAGAATACTAATTATGACCATATTTCAAAGCGACGATCAACAAAAAAGTGCGCGCATCGCTCCTATCTCTCTCTCTCTCTCTCTGTCTCTCATTCACCTCTTTTTATGTGTATGTGTTGGTCGGTCGTCCGGTGACGATTCATCGAATTGTGACGCATTTATTTGTACTGCTTCCCAGAAGTAAAATTGATTTTGGTTTCTTTTCTGTTGAAAAATAACGTGTCAGTTCAAAGCGTCCGAATGTCAACAATAACAACAACTACAATATAAAAAAACAGAGGTGGTTTTTATTTTAAAGAAAAAAAAAACAAAATAAAAACCAAACGAACTAGAGAAGGCTGCAGAGAGATAAGAAGAGAAACTTCAAAGATTTTTTTCATTAAACTTGACATCGACCGACACACGAAGAGAGTATATTTAATTTCCCCACTAAATTGGTCATTCTTCATTTGCACTGGCCTGTAATAAAGACAAATGACAGCGACTCTATAGTGCGCGGCGGCCAAACAAATAGCAAACAAAGCCGAATTCATGATGAATCCTCAATCACGCTCTCGCTCTGTGTGTATGTGTTGCTTGGTTGGGCTCGCCATACATTGCTTTTCAGAGCAATAAATGACAATAAGCAGAGTGACCAACCAACAACACACAATGCTTTTTGTAAGTGCTCTGTGAACAACAAGAACACAATTGAAACAAAATAAAAAGAGAAACACACAGACACACACGCACGCACAAATCGTTAAACTTTAGAACATTGTCACTTGCATTGCTTGTTAAATGCGACGAAGTCCACGACAAATTCGTTGCTACAGTATCGGTCTTCCTCTATCTGTGTACACTGTGCCGCACAGTAAGTGTGTATTTTTGAACATCATCAGTAGTTGATCGACTACATGCCATGGCATGCGGTGGGAGCGCTGTCGCGTTCTTTCATTCGTTCATTCGTTCATTTTTGCACAGAAAAACTCCTTATGTACATTGTGTGATGAACATCTGTTTACTCAATTCACCGATCCAAATGCCCGATAAAAGGAACCTAACACAACTCATTCATTTACTTCCATTCCTTTTCACCATATTGACGCATCGCATATTTTGTTGACTAAAATTAAAGATGTCATTTCTGTTCGGTTGTTTTACCTTCTCAATTCCGTTTATTTGTTTTTGCGCTCATAATCCGATGCGACGAATGGAAAGAAGTCAGAATAAAAATAATCGAAACAATTGTTCGTGTCTAGGGTTTTTTTCGTCTCCTCTTTAATGAATTCAATTTGCCCATTGGTGTGGTTTTCTTTTTTCATTGCTTCTCCTGTGGTCAGCAATGGCTCATGATGATTAGTTGCCATCGACAATGACGACGTTTGCTTTTTTGCACTGAACGGCGCTGATTCTCGCCGATAATGGCATCAAAATGTGTGTACGATGACGCTGAACGGAGTAGCTAATCAAAGCAAAAAATAACAACAACTTTTTGCCTTCTGAGGCATATACAACATTTAACATTGCGACCACAATAATCATAGGGCCGTCAATGCTCTTGTCTCTCTTACTTATTCCTTTTTTTCAAAATTTGCGGTGGACGAAGTGATCTAAGCCTCTCAATGATGCTTGTATCAGGCCGCCCGTCACAATACGTTGCGCCATTCATTCACCGCTGCTGTTGCTGTTGCTGCTGATTATTCATTCGTTTTTGCCGATGCGCGCACACATTTCATCACTTTGATAAATCGCACACCATTCAAAGTTTTTTCTTACATTGAAGCAATTGGCTGTTTGTGTATGTGTGTGTTTTTGTCTGTCTTTTGCGTGTGCTGTTGTAGCTCAAGACACTTTTGGCTAATGCTTTTGCTTCTTCTTCTTTTTATCTTTTTCGACCTTCAATTGACTTCCAATTAATTCAAATAGTTTTTCATTCGAAACATTTTCTTTCTCGTTATTTTTAATTTGGAATTTGTACGAAACGACGCAAATAAATGATGATCGCTTTTTCACACAGGAAACCATTGTTTTGTTTGCTGTTATTTGTTTGTATTTCGGTCGCAGAAAAAAAATAACCAGTGATGCGATTTGATCAATGGCTAAACGTTCTTTTTTGTTTGGTTAATGAGCACACACACACACATACATACACATCCTTTTTCGTGGGACGCATTTATTTTCGGCACTTTGATGCGGTTCTCACGATTTATGGAAAATAAAAATGCCGAAATCAAAGCACCGAAATATGATAAATTATATTCTTGGAAGTCTTTGATGGTTTCTCTCTCTCTTTCTCTCTCTCTCTCTACCTTGATTTAATCGCGGTTGGTGGTTTTTTCCCTCTTTTTCTTAACATTACTCGCTCTGGCGCAATGGCATGAGAAAATTTTAGCATTCCGTTGGATTTTCGCTTTCGAAAGTGCATGCAGAGAGAGAGATAGAGACGGGAGTGCAAATTGTTTCGAAGCAATGAACACTAACTCCAAACGAATTCAATTTAGATTTCGAAAAAAAAACAGCGAATCGACTCAATAAGCACAGCATCTCAAACTCTAAAATTACTAGTTCGTTCTAACTAGGCTTTAGCATAGGTTTTCTTCCATTCCGTAATTAACCCTTATTAAGATCAAATAAACAACGCACTCACTGTGTGTGTGTGTGTGTGTGTGTGTGTGTGTGTGTGTGTGTGAGAGAGAGAGAAACGAGCAGCATCCATTAAATGCTGTGTGTAATTAGGGTTTGAAAAAAGTATATCGTTCGATCATTTGTTCGTTTTCACATGGCTAAAGAATTTAAATGGATTTCTGCAGCAGGATGTGAATTCAATATATATTTTTTTTACCATTTTTGCTCTTCTGTGTTGTTTGAGTCCATTTAAAAGGAAAAAAATTAGTGGATTTTTACGATTAAAGTACTAATACGTTTTTTTTTTCTTTCATTGTTTTTTTTTGCATTTCGACAGAGTCTCGTCAACGAATGCCGGTGAAACGCAGAATTTGAGTTTTTGCAAGGGACTCAAACTACTGGAATCAAATTGTGTGGAAAATGTTCTGCAAGTTGGTAAGTAGCAGTTTTTTTATTCGCTCTTTTTCTCCATAACAATAACGAATCAAAATATAGTTGTATAGTTGTCTTGCTGGGCTTTAATTAAATTGAAACTCAACAGAACTTGACTACAATTTCCTGTACGAATTGAAATCCAATCGACTAAGTAAATAACAATACACAATTCATCCGAAAGAGAAATCAACCAACATAATGATTGAAGGCACACAAAAAATTGTTGTATAGAAAATTCAAGCATCATAAATATAAACACATATTTACACATGCGCGCACAAAAAACCATCAGGGTTTTTTTTTATTGAGCGCATCGACTATTGCGAACGCGATCACTTTGATTGTAATTATTTGTTTGATCGCAGTGTGAATTGCACAACGCATGCAACATACACACACACAGCAAGCAAAGAGCGAACAAGGAGCGTACATCATTGATTTTTTTTAGATTATTATAGTACTTTGCTTAATGACGGCCTATGACTGTGTGTTTTGGGTGTTTTTTTTTCGGCGAATGAAATGGTCTGCAATCGAACGAAATACCGAAAAGCATTTTCCCATAACGCATGCATTTTTTTTCTGCGCACATTCACGCTCTCTGTTCAATATTCAGCAAACACTCCCAATGTGTGATCTATAGCTCTACATTATTCAATGTGATTCACGCGCCGTTGTTCAATTTAGAAAAAAAAAGAAAGAAAGAAAGAAAGAAAAAAACAAACTCAATTCACTTTCGTCGGTTGGGTCGGGCTCCGATAGGAAGCGAATCAACCTTTCAGATTTTGCAAGCATGCACTTTGTTGTTGCTGTTGCTTTTCTTGTTGTTGCATCGAACGATTTGAAATAATCTATTCACAACAATTACTCATAATACATAATCACGTTTTTCACATTTGAAGTCGCTGAGACCGTTGTTACCTTCTTCCTCTTTGCCAGTGAGTGTGTGCATGTGTGTTTTTTTCTCATTCTTTTTCCATTTTCAAAATCCACTCTTGCCAATTCTATTCTGACTCATGAGAGACTTAATATGTCTTGTCGCTGCCTTGCCTTTGCCTTCCACTTGATTTCATAAGTGCATACACGTTAATTTACTTCATTGCACCGTTCATTTTTTTTTCTTCGTTTTTCTTACTCTCTCTCGGTCGGTCGGTCGATCGAGAAAGTGTAAGGCAAAAATTTCTCAGCCTTTCGAACTTTGAATAAGTAGCGTAAATATTTATCGCTTGGCCAATGCTTGATCACTTTGGATCATCGGTTTGTTGTTGTTCTTTCTCTCTCTTTTTCCCCATTTTTTATACCTCACTCACACTCTCTTTTACTCATTCACATCACTTCAGTCGATTTGATTACCGGATGCCGTTGTGCGCCCCGTTCAATTAGTATTATTCTTTCAAAATTTATGTTGTTTTCATCGCTACAAATGTCTGCGTGTGTATGGAGGAACTGTTTCTCGTCCGAATATATATGTATATGTGTATGTATTTAGTTTATCGAAATTCTCCGGTTTTCATCATTATTATTTCTCAATGAAAGTGTTCGTGACGTCGGTTTTTTTTTGCCTCAGTTCATCCGGCGTATTCAAATAATTTCCAAAAATAAACCACTCAAAATTTATTCAGCCAATGATTAACCACAGGGAAAAATTGGCTACTTTTCTCTCTCTCGTGTTGGGCTGCCGTGTGACTGTTTCTGTCTAAAATCGAAAAGAAGCTGTATGAAATTCATAATGAGCCAAAATAATGGCTACACAAAACGCAAAAAAAAAACCAAACCATAGTCCAAAATCCAGGCGAGAAAAAAAAACATAATATAAAATTAAACGGCTTTTTTTTAATATCCTAAAATCGCTTTTCGTAGTTTTTCATACAGTTTCGTTTTTTTTTTAAGAAAAAAAAGTGATCACACACGCACGTTTTAAGCACTGCCGATACTAATTTTCATTGTTTTTTTTCCTTTATTTCGACGAAATCTCATCATTCTTGAGCCGAGCAATTTTCGGCTGCATAGACGTGCTACGTTCGGGTACAGTGAGTAAAACCATTAATATCACGTTCGCTATGGCATAAATGGCTCTTGAAAAACGTTCAGCTCAACACAAGCGCAGCACATATGAACATTTTGGAAACATAATATATATACTCTCAGAAAGAAACTCAACACATGGCCATCGAAGATGAAGAATGAACAAAGAAACTACGGGGCCGATTTTGAACAATACGTGCGCTTATTTATATATGTACATAAAATCTATATAGAGAGAGAGAAAAGAGTGAGAAACCCTTATCAGCATCGAACAATCTTTTCATAGAACATAATTTTTCTTCTGACAATTATTGCTAAGTCATAATCATAATCAAAATTACGACAGAACGAACGAGAAGAGCAAAAGAACGAAAGAATGAACAAACGAACGAACGAACGAACGAAAAAAAAATAATCAAAAGTTATATTTTACACCGAGTCATTCTGGTTATATTTTTCATTACTTGACTCAATTTTTTAATGTAACTTTTTTGTGTGTGTGATTATTTTCAGTTTCTCTCATGCATGCGCGCGCGTTCGTTCGCTTTTTTTCCGCCCGTTTTCTGCTGTACAAATGGATTCTTTATTAATGCCATTAAACATTTAGTGATTGAAATAATTTTTCATTGCCCATACATGTAATGTTCATTGTGGGACAGAGAGCGAAAAAGAAGGCTTTACTTACGAAAGTGAAAGAAAAAACCATACGAAATGACTTTGGTCATTGAAATTGATTTGATTTTGCGTTTGGTTTCTTTTATATGCCCACCGAAATGGACTTTTTTCCACGTTTACTCTCTAATCCTTGCCATTTTGCACAATAGAAAAACGAAAACTTTGCTAAAATAGATGAAGAAAAAACGCGCCAGCATCTGGACTTGAAATTGCATCTCAACAAAGTGAATTGATTGCGAGCATAAACATTGTGAAACATCTTTTTGACAACGGTTCGCTCTTCCATATTGCATAACGCAATACAAAAACGGATTCAATCAAGATCGGCAGCTCTTTTCATTCTCGCTGCAAAAAAAAAAGAATGAGATGAAGAAGAAGAAGGAGAACTTTCTTCATAATGATTTCGACATGATAATCATTTCACAAAACATTCGATATGTTTCGATGTTGCCGGTTTTTTTTGTGAAATAAAAAGAAAAGGATAAGAGTGCTATAAGCAAGAGAGAAGATACTTGAGAAATTATGAAGAAGAAAATAACCGTACTGAAGCATTTTCTATATCAATGGAGTGGGAGCGATTTAAGGAGATAATGTAAAGTTTTTTTTGTTGTTCTGTATTTTACCGATTCGAAACAAGAATATCAAGTACACTATAAAATACACCCGAATACGAAGAACAAAATTATAGAGAGCGAGAAATCGTATTGAGATACGAGGCGAAAAAAAACAGGGCAGAAGAAACCGCTCGATTTCGTCATTTCGATCGTATTGCCACTTTGGTGTTGAGAGCAAGAGAGGCATGCACAGCACACACACACACAGCAATTACACATTGATATCGACCACCTGTCAATTTATTTCATACCCACACACACACACACACATCTTCGACTTCTTCTAATGGCATGTTTGAATAAGTATTTCAGTATATAACAACATCAATCCATTTTGTTAGATGTCAATTGCGAACTCTTCCCCAATTATATTGTGTTTCTGTGCGTTTGGCCAAGAGGGATTTTTTGTTGTTGCTGTTATTTGTGTAAAATCCTTCAAAACATCAACGTTAGGTATCAATTCTTCAGCTGACATTTGATAGCCACACATACAACAATGCGAGCTCAACGGTGAGCATATAACAAAAGCATCAAACTATTGAAAAGATCACGTTTTAATTGAATTTGATGCGTTCGAAAAATATCGAAAGCAAAATAAGCAAAATAAGCAAAAAAAAAATAAATGCGTTAAAGAAAATGATAAGGGAAATGTCGCAAACTCAATAGCAAACAACAGTACAATCTCAATAAATAAGATTGAAAGACTATTTTTGGTTTATGTTTTATACTTTGTTGTTGCTGTTGCTCCCTCTTATGTTGTTTTCAATCACTTCGATGGGATTATTCTGATAAATCTCTAATGCATTTGCACTCGTAGCCTCATTAAACTTACTCGCAGCGTTAGATTCATGGATTAATAAACACACAGAGAAGATGTTTGGCTCAAACTCGAATCAAACTGACGAACAGCCGTACGTTTTGTTATGACCATCGCTTCTTTTTTGGTGTAGATGTATGTCTGTTTGGTACAATTTACTGTCTTCCTTGATTGAAATTGATTTCGTACGTCGTATTCCAACATTTTATTTAGCTAACAGCTAAAAGATAATTGCCGCGCTGCCTCATTCTTCAATTTATTCCATCTTCGTTTGCCTCTCTCTCTGTCCCTCTTGCTCACTTTTTTTTTCTATCAGTGTCGTTTTACTTTGGATTCATTTTGTGTTGTCGGTTTATTTATTTTTTTTCGACAAATCTTCGAGTTCTCGATTGAACGTGTGATGTGTGCCGTGGTTGTGTGTGAGAAGTTGTGTATTTTTTTCTCCTTCTTTGGTGTATGTGTGCTGTGTGGATCTTCTTCTTTATATTTTTTTTTATTATTATTAGTAGTATTTGGTCTTGCAACGGCCGTCATTGGATTGTTTTGTTTTCATCTGCCTGTTGGCTAAACACTACATTTTCAATCTGCCGTTCGGTTGCCTCTCTTCGTCTATCTCTCTTCTGGCTTCTCGTTGCAGTCTCTCCGTCGTCGTTTTTCGTTTTTCTCTTCTTATCTTTTTGCTGGGCTCGTCTTTTTTTGTGTCTGCTTTCGTTCTGTGTATGAAATAATTTATGATTGAACTATTTGGTGAGCTGGGCTAAGGCACCAACAACAACATTCACTTATTCAAAATTGATGTGTGTATCTGTTGATGGTTATTGCATTCAACATTGCCTGACTCTCTGGCGCTGTCAGTTGATGAGTCTTCGGTT